AGGGTCCCTTTCCAGGGCATCTGGTGGACGTGAGCGGCACCGGGACCCTGTCCCAGAGCTACCAGTATGAGGTGTGTCTGTCGGGAGGTTCCGGGACAAATGAGTTCAAGTTCCTGAAGCCGATTATCCCTAACTTCCTTGCTCAGGGTGCAGAGAGGGTTAGCGAGGCAAACCCCAGTTTCAGGAACAGCTTTGAATTTAGTTAAGTGTTAATAAGGATCTGCTGAGGCTAGTCTCATTTAATTTGTGAAATGCCCTTTTTTACTGCTTTGCCCATTGGAAATGTGTCCTTTTATTAGAAAGTAACTATCCTATTCCAATTCTATGCATGTTACTGGTATTTACAAACATATGAGTTTTTTGCGGTATAATGAATGTAAATTTTCTTTGTATTCTAATTTTTGATTCTTTTCATTGCAATTTAATTCCATTTAAGGTGTAAAAGTAAATTTTATATTTTCAGAAATCTTTGATTTTTAAGTTAGAGCCTCTTTTCCAGACCTCATAGTCCATGGTTCTAGATAATTTTGAAGTCCTACATTTAAAAATATTTGTTATCATTACATGAGTTATATTTTCCAGCCCAGTATATTTGTGTTTTTTATATCCTCTTAGGCAAGTGTAAATTCTACCCTGTGAATTCGCATTGGTTAAACCTCTAAATAGGTATATTTATGAATAATATAGCAAGCACCATCCTTATGTTTTTCAATATATGTACTTCTTTAAAGTGTTGACATATGAAAATTATTAGTCTTTAGAGATTTTAAGAATGTTAGCTGTTGGATTCTACAAGGCATTTACATTATAAGTGCTCTAATAAATTTTTGTCAAAAATCACTCAGTATTCTAAAATGTAGATAAATGATACATGTCTAGCAGTTTTCAAAGGCATGCTAATTTATCATGCTTTCTCTTTCAAATAGTTTTTAAAGAGTACTCTGCTTATTCCAGTCCCCCCTTTAAAATCTTTTAAAATTATGAATAACCTATTAACTCTGAGCATTTCATTAAAATTCAAAAAATGTAAAGGAATCTATGTCTTTGTCATTGATCAACTTTTAGAAACTTCAAATATAGCTTGGTATGGCTGTTTTTTAAAACATTTTCTGGAGCATTTAGGATTCACTTAGAGAAAAGTGTTTAGGGAGAAAAATGTATCCAGCACCACTCAGTATATTTTTTGCACTGACTACTTCTGTTTTTCCCCCTTTCATTTCCCTAGACTTTCCAATGCTTTTTAATAAAGGTGCTTGAGTTATGTTTCCCAACAGCTCCTCCTTTATTGTGTGATTCACACAATCACCAGAACATTATAGATTCTTAAGAAAATGTTTGAATGATTGAAAGAAAGAAAAGTATTTTACCTGTGATATATTGATATTTAAAGAAACTAAAATACTTAAAACATTTTGCTGGAATCAAATACTCCTTGGTGTACAATGAGCTATAGTTTTATTATTAATTGAATTTGTCACCATTATTCAAACATGCAGTTATCATTCTAGTGTCACTTTCCTTCAACATGTTTTTCCTTTTTCTCTTACTGCTTAAATTGAGACTCCTCTCCTGTCCACTGGCTTAAGGAATACAGATGGAGAAATTGTAGTTTTTGATTTTATTACTTTAATTTCCTTCCATAGTTTTCTAAATGACTCACCCAACTGTTTTCATTTCTTGCAGTTTACTTTCTGATCCACATATCAAAACAAATTTTAATTCTTAATGTTACTCAGTCTATCTTACATTTTTCTATTATTTTTATATACATTTGAATGAATTATCCTATTAAAATTATAATATTAATTTTGAAGTTCTCATTTTGAGATTAGCAGTTGTGTAGAGCATATGTTGGTATCAAAGGTCTCTGATCAATGAACTCATTACCTTTAGGATTTTGGATAAGTCACAAAATTTCTCTTCTTCTACGCCAAATGATAGCGGGTATTTGAATAACTTGCAGTTATACTCAATATAAAGACATAAAAGTGAAATTGCTGTTATTTTTAGTATCACTAGTGTTAAGAGCAAACATTCAACATTCTTGATAAATGTGTAGAAGTACAAAAGAGGCTACATTAAACACATATTTGCACTGTTTTATTTCTCTACCTACAACCTTGCAATGGCTTCCTTTTGTTCTTAGAATAAAATCCAAGCACCCATTATTTGACCCTGGCTTACTTTTCAGCCTTCCCTTTCCACTTAATCTTGGGACATTAAGTTTTGTATTTACTGTCCTTCTTTCATTATCTCTAATAACTATGCTTTACTCTTTCAGGGCCTTCACACATTCTACAGTCTTAGCCTGGCACACTTTTCCTATATCATGTTTCAGATTAAATGGTACACGTTGGGGGAAACTATCTTAATCCCTCTCCATGAAGTTAGGTCCCTGTATTGCATACGTTCCGTGAAATCAGTACCTTTTCTATGTAGCACTTTTCGCAATGTTTAAACATGTTTAAAGACTGTACACCCACTAGATGGAGAACTGTTGTAAGATATACAGACATTGTCTGTCTTGTTACCACTACTTGCCTAACTTCTACAAACTCAACAATTATCTGTGGAAATAATACAGATGAAACGAATAATTGTAAATTTGCTCTGAAATAAGAAGAGAAAGCACTCTAAGTGTTCCCTGAGTGTGATGACGTGGAAGAAATTAGGCATTTGTAGCCCTCTGGATCTACCCCTGACATGATATATTTTCTTTTTTACTACCTTGCAGGAGGTGTCTTTTCCTTGTATTTTTCTGGTGTATGCAATTCGTGCTCATTTCACAAAGTTTAGGGAAAAAAAGACAAACATAAATGGGATAGTGAAGCATGCTATCATTTAGAGCAAAATCTTTTTAAGTTTGTGTGTAATTATTACAGAAGAGGAGGGGTAGTCTACTATGTGTACACTTCTGAAAAATCATGTAAATGAGGACTCTACCAAGAACAATCACTGCTTTTAGATAAGAGCGCATTTTATTTCCCTAGATAGCATTTATTTAATTCATATAACATGAGATACTCCTCCAGTAGCGTCAACTAGGATTGATAAGAATAAACAGTAAAACAAAACAGAAACACCTTCTCCAAGATTTTGAAACTGCAAGCGAACGCATGGTGGCGCTGTTGACTAAGAAGGCGAATTAAACCACAGGCATTGTGATTCTCGGTGACGCACGGATCCACTGTGGTAAACCAGGGGTTATGAGCCCAGGCAGATTTTTGAGCAAGCAAATGTGAGCCTCTGGAAAGTCTTATTCGCTAGGCCGTCTGCAAAGGTTGTGGGGCAAAATACTATTTCCCAGCCCTGTCTGAGGTTCAGCTTGGTGACATTCCCTGGAAGAACGTGACAGAAAGAAAGTGCAATGGAGGCTGGAGGAGAGCGATTTCTTAGACAAAGGCAAGTCCTGCTTCTCTTTGTTTTTCTGGGTGGGTCTCTGGCTGGGTCCGCGTCAAGACGCTATTCGGTGGCTGAGGAAAAAGAGAAGGGCTTTTTAATAGCCAACCTAGCAAAGGATCTGGGGCTAAGGGTAGAGGAACTGGCCGCGAGGGGGGCTCAAGTTGTATCCAAAGGCAACAAACAGCATTTTCAGCTCAGTCATCAGACAGGTGATTTGCTACTGAATGAGAAATTGGACAGGGAGGAGATTTGCGGCCCCACAGAACCATGCATACTGCATTTTCAGATATTACTGCAAAACCCTTTGCAGTTTGTTACAAACGAGCTCCATATCATAGATGTAAATGATCATTCTCCGGTATTCTTTGAAAATGAAATGCATCTGAAAATCCTAGAAAGCACTCTACCAGGAACAGTAATTCCTTTGGGAAATGCCGAGGACTTGGATGTGGGAAGAAACAGCCTTCAAAACTACACTATCTTTCCAAATTCCCACTTCCACGTACTCACTCGCAGTCGTAGGGACGGAAGGAAGTACCCAGAACTAGTACTGGACAAAGCGCTGGATCGGGAGGAGCAGCCGGAACTCAGCTTAACGCTTACCGCGCTGGACGGCGGCGCTCCGCCTCGGTCTGGAACAGCCCAGATCAACATCCAGGTCTTAGACATAAACGACAATGCACCAGAATTTGCACTGCCTCTCTATGAGGTTACAGTTCTAGAGAATACCCCCGTTAACTCTGTCATTGTCACTGTTTCGGCTTCTGACTTAGATACGGGAAGTTTTGGGACAATATCATACGCATTTTTTCATGCTTCTGAAGAAATTCGCAAAACTTTTCACCTAAATCCAATAACTGGTGATATGCAACTAGTCAAATATTTGAATTTTGAAGCGATTAATAGTTATGAAGTCGACATTGAGGCCAAGGATGGCGGAGGCCTATCTGGAAAGTCTACAGTCGTAGTCCAGGTGGTGGATGTCAATGACAACCCACCAGAACTGACCTTGTCGTCAGTAAACAGCCCTGTCCCCGAGAATTCAGCAGAGACTGTACTGGCTGTTTTCAGTGTTTCTGACCTAGACTCTGGAGACAACGGAAGAGTGAGGTGTTCCATTGAGAACAATCTCCCTTTCGTCCTGAAACCATCTGTTGAGAACTTTTACACCCTAGTGTCAGAAGGAGCGTTGGACAGAGAGACCAGATCCGAGTACAACGTCACCATCACCGTCACAGACTTGGGGACACCCAGGCTGAAAACCGAGTACAACATAACCATTCTGGTCTCGGACATTAACGACAACGCCCCCGCCTTCACCCAGACCTCCTACACCCTCTTCGTCCGCGAGAACAACAGCCCCGCCCT